GTGTGTGTGTGTGTGTGTGTATTTGTATGTATGTATGTATTATTTGTATGTATGTATGTATACGTATTGAATATCTCCTTGCTAAGTGTATATAAAAATATATAAATTTTATATATGTAGTATATACGTATGGTATATTTCCTTGCCAAGTGTACAAATATATGTATACGTATTATATGCGTAGGCACCAGTAGTCGGGTTACCAATTTTTTTGTAGGCTGTCGTAATTGTCGGCCAGCTATATGTACACAACACGCGGTTAAAAGATTGATAGGACATTTTGAACTATAAATGCCGTATCACCACCAAGGAAAACACATACGCACTCAATATGGTACAACATGGTATGCTTTACTTAGCATATCAGCACTAAATATTATACAAACGCGTTCAAAAGGTAAGGCATGGTATACTTTACATAACATATCCCCACTTAATAAAACATAAACGCGTTCGTATAGTAAGGCATGGCGTATTTTATATAGTATATCCTCACTTAATAAAACACAAACGCGTTCAAAAGATTAAGCACGGCATACTTAAATAGTCTATCAACATTAAATAAAATAAAAATTCGTTCACAAGGTAAGGCATGGTATATTATATATAACCTATCCCCTCTTAATAAAACACAAACGCGTTCAAAATGTAAAGAATGGTATACTTAAATAGTCTATCAACATTAAATAAAATACAAACACGTTCAAAAGGTAAGGCATGGTATATTTTGTATAGCATATCCCCACTTAATAAAATATGGACGTGTTCAAAAGGTAATGCATGACATACTTAAATAGTCTATACTCTAAATAACATATCGCCATACAGAACACAAACGCATTCAGTGTCAGGTAAAGTGTTGTGTACGTTGTATAACATGTCACCCCTAGAAACCCAAAACATGTGCACATCCGTTATGTGTTAGTGCATCTACCTGAAGTGGATACGGCACTGTTTGTTTTAGAAGTCCCATAGTACGCGAGCATTGGGATCAGCGACCGCTTGGACAACGGGCTCGGTTGCAATCCTCTCTGCAAGATGTTGTCAGGGATGTTAGGATCTGAATATTAATAGCTGCTATATAATACATATAACAATACGTACGTGCATACAAAGTGCACCCCAACAATGTGTTGATAGTGCTGTTATAATCTGAGTTCGGCGCCTTTGTTCAAACTTGTACCAACTTTTGGGTGTTACAAATTTGAAACAGTTGGTGCTAAATCTGGACCGGTCTGCGCCTAAAAAGGCAGGGTCCCCTTTGAGCACAACTCGATCCAAAAATCTCATTTCAAGAATTGCAAACCAGCAGAACGGGATCCATATTCATATATATATCTGTTTAACTGGGGTAGGGTCACTTCAGAAGAAAAGGCCCAATACCGGATATGACTATATTCCATACACAATTGATAATATAAGCCTATCGAAAAAATGCCCACAAGCTGCAACACCATCTCATATTGATTTAATTTGCCTCTGAAACAAGTTTAATTAACCTCTGAAAAAGGTTTAATAAATCTATGACAACATGCCGTCGAGCGACAACAATATCTCATACCTATTTAATAAGCCCACGAAAACAGGTCCCCTAACGAAACATTCAATAAATCTATGGCAGATCTCTTACGTGCACTTACCTTCTTCATCACCGACAGCAGATACATGGCTCCCTCCATGTCGTTGTTCACCCTGTAGGCGTGGAACATAGCGTTGTAAGCCTGGTCTCCAGGCTTTAAATTGTGCTTTTCCATCTTCAGAAACATGTCCACGGCTACAGTGGGTGTGCAGATAATGTAAGCGATGTATACGAAAAAAACACAAACGTGGAAACACTTTGAAGTGCTCAGCACAGGTAGG